GAGGATGTTGAAATCATAGTTTTAATTTCACATGGATTTCAGAAAGGTCATGAGAAGTACAGCCCAGCCTCCTCTACACTGGTGCCCTCCCCCCTGAGAGATGCACAGGATATCACCTGCCAGCCTTTTCCCCCAGCTCAACAGCTCCAGATCAGATCAGCTGAAAAGGACAAGCATTGCATAACTGAAACCTGTCATTATAACCCCCCCCCCCCCAACCGCACTTTTCCGGCCCACTACCTAATGAGCTGCCACGCACTGTCATCCCTCAGAGGTACAGATTAGAATTCAAACCCCAAGAGAACGGGGAGGTACATAAATTCCTCCAGCAGAGACCCACAACGTGAAGCGGTCCAAACCAAGTGAACGTAATTAATGCTGTGCTAAAAGAGTAAGTTTGTGGGAGAGAGAGAGAGAGAGGGAGGGAGAGGCATCAGAAGACGGGTCGGGGAGGAAAACGAGCAGGAAGGAAGGTAGCGCTTTCAACTGTGGGAATTCTTTTCACACGCACACATATAGATTACACATGCACACATGCATGCATGGGAACACACACACACACACACACACACACACACACACACACTAAAACATGCGCACAGGTTGCAAGTTTAGACTGGAGCTGTGGAAAGCTAATTTGCACCACATTGAAATGCATCTCAATTAAAGAGAAACACATCGAGGTGTCAGGGGAAGGAGAGGAAAGAGAGAGAGAGAGATGTGAGAGAACGGGAGGGAGGGACGGGGTGTGAAACAGATAGTGTGTGAGAGTATGAGAGTAATAGAAAGAGGAGGGGCGGAGGGGGTGAGCTCAACTGTATTTGGCAGTGAAAGAAGGGAGGGAGAGAGAGAGAGAGAGAGAGAGTGTGTTTTCATCTCCCTCTCTTGGAAAAACATCTCATTTTGGGATCAATCAGATTTAGAAAGGGTGTTAGGAGGTTGAGGCGCAGCTAAAAAATCCTAACTAACTTCAACCTCGTTATCGCAAACTCTTTGGTTGTGTGCCAGCGAAGCCAGGGCTGTCCCTGCTACAACTGTGTCTGCGTGTGTGTGTCTGCGTGTGTGTGTGTGTGTGTGTGTGTGTGTGTGCGCTCGGATATTTTTAAAAAGCCCAAGGCCGGTTACTGTATGACAGCATGGGCGGGTGTACGTCCGAGACACAATAAGGTTTTTTTTTTTGTTTTTTTTGTTTTTTTTTTACCTCAGTGTGTGTAGGCAAAGTGTGACCGCGGGCTTGCATCAACGTGTTTCTGAGGTTTTTTTTTAAGAATGCGTCGAAATTGCTTCGTTTGTCAAGTTTAAAAATGAGATACCGTGCGTAAGTGCATCGGCGTGCGTATGTGCTTGTTATGTGTGATTTAGCGAGTGTGCGTCTGAGAGAACAAACAACAACCGGAGGAAAGAAGAAGAAGAAAAAACAACACACACACACACACACACACACACACACACACACACACACACACACACACACACACACACACACACAAGCACGCAATCTGTCACTGGAAAAAAAAAAAAAAACAGGATTGGCTTTGTACGCCGCTACCATTTTGCACGGACTGTCATGTTCTTAAGACTGCGCTGAAGCTGCCAGCCCACCATCTTCACACCAAATACAAGAAGATCCATTCTTTCATGCTGTCAAACGACACTCAACTTGTCTGCTTCTTTAAAAAAAAACAAAAAAAAAAACCTTTAACCCAGAGTTTGCCTCCGCTCTCACACACAGCTCTCACAGTGAAGAGCATTCTGGGAAATCAAGTCTTTGTTTGATCTTGTTCTGGTGTCAGAATCAGAGCGCACTACTCCTGACTGCAGCGCTGTAATACCACACTAAGTATGATGTAATGCAGCGACCTGCCTCCTTCATTAGCAGCATCAGTGGTAATCAGATCGTCGGCATTAAGAGGAGCGGGGAGCACGGTCATCATCATCATCATCGTCCTCATCGGCTCACCTGACACGGGTAGACCGGGGTAAACTGCTGCTTTTGTGGTGTGATTTCCTTTTGCTGTGTTTTCCACTGAGACATGCAGAACTCCTCAGATAAGAGCATTGAAAAGGAAATCGAGGAGCGATGACATGTAGGGCACTCTGTCACAGAAATACATTTCCTTTGATTTGTTATTACCGAGCCGAGATAAATAAACACAACTTTCCATTATTTCATATCCACATGCAGCCCAGCCGTATAGTGCATCATCTTTTTTTCCCTGTAAAAAAAAAAAAATCAGCGCCGATAAAACTCAGCGGACCTGAAATTTCTGCCCAGCTGCTTTCTGTTCTGTTAGCAGGGGCTCGTCCAGAGTATCGTCTCTGGGGGGGGGGAGGGGGGGCCTAAAAGGAGCACCATCTCAGTCTCCACTGTTCTGCTCTTTTTCTAGCCTTCCTGTGAGTTTTTTTAAAAATACAAAACAAAACAACAAACATAAAACTGCAATGCTTAGCTCTATAAGGTCTCACAAAGAAGATTGAGGTGCGCAAGAACAACCAAAGACAGCGTGCTGCATTGAAGTGCCACAGAAGGTACTGCGAGCCCGTTTGAACTAAGGTCGTGAAAAATGTGGATGCATTGATCCTTCTTTTTTTTTCCCACCGCTCTTTTTTTAGTCGATCCGACACAATCTACTGAAATGTTGCAAACGTATTTGAGCAATTTAGAAAGCGTGCAGGAATGTGCCTGCATTTTTAATGGACTACATTTATCCTTGTCAATGAACACTTGTACTGGAAACAAGACGTACAGGCTATCTAGTTAACCTGAGGATTTAGAAAGGGATGCTGCTAAGTTGAGGGAAACAACAAGGGTCAAGGAAACTTTCAAAATTAGTAGATGTCACTTATTGCTTCCAGTAGCTACAGTTCAGGCATCAGCTCACAAAATGTTGATGAAAATATTTCATTCAATTATTCTGCATATAGCACCATGTTCTCTTCACTGGGTAAATTAGGAATTACCAATATTAGGAGCCTCAGACTTTGTTGTTATTGGTGGTATTAAAGATTAAAGCAGGCATCGAGCACCTGGAAACGCTCCGGCATGTTTCCTGAGTTATAGGCAAACTCTAATCTTAGGGGTGGGAAAAAATATTGACACAGGGATATACTGCCTCACTCAATCATTTCGCTTGTGCCAAATATCAGCATCTCAGTTGTTCAAAGAAAGGGGGATCCAATCAGATCCAATCTGGCAGTTTGTCTCACATCGTTACAGCTTCATGACTCGTCACAGTGGCGTTCATTTTGGAAGTTGCTCGACCAATGACGAGGAAGAAGATGACAACAGGAAAAAGTCTGTTCACTGTGAAAATGCACGATAAGAGATGAATGCAACGCTACATTTTCTATTCTTCAGTTTATCAGATTTTGAACATGTGGATGATCACAGACTAGTGATATTTTATCGTTATGGTGCGACCTCCTATCGCTTATCGCGTCACCACTCACCCTGCGATTCTCGCCCTGTTTACCTGCGCTTTGGTCGGTGGGCTTGTTTCGGTCAATCCTCTTTAAGTCTCCTCTTGTTTTCTGTACAGCTAAGCTAAAAATAAGCTTTGGGCCTCTTTTATATAAACCCCCATGTTGGTGACAAGCATGTCAAATCCAGAAGAACCAACTGTGTATCACTGAAGGCTCTGACAGCTAAATATATAAATATATATGCTAAAGAAAAAACTGCTTACATGGGTTTTTCTCTTCCTCCAGTACTTTGAGTTAGCATAATCTCTCTCTGTCCCTTCTCCCTGTCCCTCTTTTCTTTTTGCTCACTTCTTCTTTCCTTGCATACACATGACTGAGCAAAGCTGGGACACACACTTTTCACTTAGGTACACACACACACACACACACACACACACAGAAAGTCCTGGCTCCACAGTGACAGCCCCACACTGAACATGGACAATAAAACACATCAGCAAACTACTCCCAACAACCTCCACGGGCACTTTGTCATGTCCTCTGTGTCTTTTACGGCTCCTCAATCTGCACCTTATGACACCGCTTATGAGCCTTTAAGCGGGCCCTCGCTCGTGCCCGGGCTTGACGGATCGAGATGTCATTACATTAAGTAGGGGCTCTCTATTAGCGCAAATGGTGGCACATAACCAGATAATCGGCTGTGGCCAGCAAGTTTGGCTATGTGGGAGGTGAGATGCTAGCGGATGGTGTGTGGGAGAGTAATGTTTTATGTTGGAGGAAGTGTGAGATCTCCATTATAGACAGGCTTAATTGATAAACAGGACAATAAAAAAGAAGCAAATGGCCCCATAGATTTCTGCCTACAGCACAGCCAGCAGCACTGTAGGATGTCACTCTGTATATAATGGGGAGTAATAGCGCAGACAATGAAAGCATATTAAATAGAGGCTTTACAACAATATCAGCCAATGTCATCATTGTAAGAAATAAAAGGCTAATAAAAAAATCCCTCTCATAAAAAAGGGGGAAAGAAAGCGGTGCTTCCCTGAGGGATCCCTTAAAATGTTTCTTTCTTCTCACACTCACACTCACTCTCACCTAATCTCCATCCCCCCTCCACCACCCCCACCACCCCCCCACACCCCACTCTTCCCCTTCCTCACCCCGGCCCGGCTGTGTTTTACTCTCCTGCTCACCTCTGCGTGAGAGGAATACTGACTGGTAATAGTCACAAATGGACACGCTTAATTCCCATGCATAATGAGGGACAACTTCGCTTGCCACGGGGTAAACACACACACACACACTACACACACACACACACACACACACACACACACACAAAATGTGCCGTGCATGCGCTCCTTTTTTTTTTTTTTTTTAAGCTTCAAGCGCGACACAACAATCGTGAAATGCTGCTTTCAATGTTTTAAGAAGACACAAGTACCCGGATTATTGACACAGACCCGTCTCAAAACAAAGCACGAGGAGCACTTTGACGTGTTTTTTTTCTTTTTTTTTTTGCACGGGTGATAATGTAAGCAACTATTTCGCCAAAAAAGTGAAGTGTTGCTCACCAGAATATCCGGATGAGAGCTCGGTGTATGGAGAATCCCGAGGAGTTTCCTCTTGTCTTTCTTCAACCCCAAGTTGAAGCCAAACGCGCTCTCCCACAGTCCCGACACAACTGCAAGGAAGGAAAGGAAGGAAGGAGACAAAAGAGCGTGAGGAGGAGACCACACTGATGATGGAGCCGAGAGAAGACGCTCTCATCCCGGGCGTGCAATCGAGGTCAACCTTCTCCCCCCCCCTTTCTCCCTCCCCTCTCTCTCTCCCCGACCCACCCACCCCCCAAAAAAGTAAATCAATAATTACACACGATTATCCCGCTAATCCGGGTCCGTACCTCTTAAACGAGACGGGATGACCACCGGCGAGGGAAGGAGACGGGAAAAGGGAAAAAAGGAACCGGGCAAGGCAAGCAGGCTGTCAGATTTGACTTCAAACTGATGCTGACGATGCGCACCGAGATAAGCTCCGGAGGAGAGAGAGACAGAGAGAGAGAGAGAGAGAGAGAGGGAGAGGGAGAGAGAGAGACAGAGAGAGAGAGAGAGAGAGAGAGAGAGATCAGAGGTGCAGCAGACACATTCAGAGAATTGAATTAAACAAACCACCTCATAAAAGTTTTCCAAGTAGGTCAAAGACACGAAACACAAACCACATTTGAACAGTGAACACAGCACATGAACTCATCATGAAGTCTTCTTCTGCACAGGCACTTAAATGCATCATGTGTAGGATTAAAATGCTGTCATACTGGTGGTCAGTTTAGGGTTAAAGGTGACGGTGAAAGATTGTCTAACTCTCTAATAACCTGGTTGTCTTACACAAGAAGTGTTCGCATCTTGTTTACACGATTAATGAAATAATTTGAATTTTTAAAAAAAGGATCGAAGGAGAGGAAGAGACTTCAAACTGCACCCTTCCTTCATTCTCTGCAAAGTATTCCTCAAAGATGCTTTCAAGAGCTGACCTGGGATTTTTTTTTGGCTCACATCCAGATTTACCTCAGGTGCTGGAGGAATCCCCCAGAGACACCCAGCACTCACAGTGTTTATCATTCACACATTAATTTGACGAAAATCCCCCAAATCCGAGTTCCTGCTCTATTTCTATAAATGTACTGCGGCAGATTTTGTTCTCATTTCACAGAGAAGAATGCAGGAATGCAAAAGCTCCATTAGCGTAAAATGAGTGTTTGAATGAACACCTTTTTGAACACACGGTGCAGTTGAAAATCAGTGCTGAAACCCGGAGAGAGACTGTGTGCACATGACGAATGCTGAATGTATGCTACATGCATGTTCTGCTGTTGGGAGTGTGTCTGATGGTTTTCTGTTTGTAGTCTGAGTGGCACAGACCAATCATTTTTGAGCTCTGGTTGTATGAAGTAAAAGGGGGATTTTGGTTTGAAGTATCAGAAAGAATTTGGACAAAATGTAGACTACTCCGAGTTGACTAAGTTGGTCAAATGGTTGTTCACATATTAACTTAAGTGTGACAACAAGCAGCTATTTATCTGAAAACAGAAATTTGCTAATGAACGCCGACAAGAACAAAGCCCTAAAAGTCCTTAAGTCCCAACAAATCTACCTTATTAAGTTGTAGTCAGACCTTAAAACTGGCCTACATAAAGGTAACCAATTATCCAAATATCCGCTTGCCACACCTGAAGACGAGACATTTTTGGCTTTCCTGCCAAGTATTCAAATATGTACACCAAGCTTCAACCTCCAGTGTTGAAAAATAAAGCCAATCCGGGGGTGCAAAAAAAAAAAAAAATCCTGCAGTTCCTCAAGTGTCCACTTGAGGCAGAGTCCAAAAGCCCAGGAAGCCCCATTGACACCCATATTAAAATGTCATTTTTTACAGCAGAATAAAACATGTCTACAGCCTTGTTTAAAAAACAAAACAAAAAAACATTTAGGTTTGAATATCTCATTTCCATATTTCTATATACTGTATTAATGTTTGTGTGTATGTGTGTGTGTGTAGGGTGGGAGGGGGGAGGAGGGGTTATGACTCATCCATTTTGATTTAAAATGCTGAAAGTTATGCTAATATTTGCACAATTGGGGGCGTGGCAGAGTCGACGGGCGAGTGGGGCAGGTGACGTCACCGAGACTACGTCCATGTCTTTTACATTCTATGGTGTTGTCTGAAAATATTACTTACACACGTGCAGAACAAGATCAGCAAAGAAATAAATATTCCCTTATTGTCCACAGGGGGGCGCCAAAGTCACAACAACCCAAAGTTTTCCTAACAGGAGCTTTAAAGTGTTCAAATCTTTCATGCAGATACAGCATGTCAGTAAAAATACAAGTTGGCTTACAAAACTCAGAACATGACAGCGCAGGAGTGTATAAACTGCACGTCAGTCTGTCACCCTTATCCTAAAATCACACAGGTGACATGTCTGCGTTTCTCTGAGGGGGCTGACTGACGGCATCAAGGTATCTCACCCAAAGGCGAAAAAACGGAAACTTTCACTAAAGGTAGCTCAAATAGACCTGAAATCAGTTCAAATACTACAGCATCATTACAGAGGAGAATTCTAACTAAGAGTTGAAAGCTAGAAATAAATTGTGTAGGCGTAATATTTCATTCGCGATCTGATTTTTTTTTTTTGGTGTGTGTGTGTGGCTCAGTGCCAACCAATATTTTTATTAGACTTCAAACATTTTCTATTCCACCTTTCTTTTTTATACTTTCATTTCACAAATCATGCAGGCGGGAGGTTTTTGGTCCTTTTTCCTGAACACCTTCTCTTTAATAAAGTACAGACCTGACCGCTTGGTGACTGCTGCTAACACACACACAGAGAGAGAGAGAGAGATTCTGGACACTCTCCTTGCAGTGGGACGCGAGGATCAGGAGTAAAAAGGAAAGATAGGTAAGAAGGGAAGGGGAAAGATGGAGCGAGTGGGGGGGGGGACAAAGTTGTCTGTCTGTCTCATGCTACCTTTCTTAACCACGGAGCGAGAGAGAGTAGAAAAGAGGAGGAGGAGGAGGAGAATTATTCCAAGTGCTGAATCTTTTTCTTTTCACATCTCATTCCTGACTCACCACTTCATCTGTCCACCTACCCCTCGCTCTCTTTTCCCTCTCTCTCTCTCTCCTCCATCCCTCCTTCTCTCTCTCTCTCTCTCTCTCTCTCTCTCTCTTCTAGGAGCATCTCTTGTTTGTTCATGCACCCGAATGTCTGCAACATCCTGCTCTCTATTTACAGAGCATGTGGGATGAAATGCGTGTGTGTGTATGTTTCTTTTGTGTGTGTGTGTGTGCACGTCAGCTTTGTACATAACTCTGTGTATCAGTCCATACGTGTAGGTTCATTGGAGCGCTGTTTGTAATATGCATGAATGTTGGATTATTGATCCGTGCTCGTTGTGTATTGTATACGGCTGGATTGATTTCTTCATATTGAAACGTTAACCACATGGAACTGTTTGCTCGAAGCGACGAGATACTTCCATATGAATCAATGAGTCATCCGGTCACTTCTTAGATAATTGGTGAATCAATCAGATCATCTCCATTTGTCCTTGCAAAAAAAAAGGCACACAGAGGAAGTCTTATACAAAAAGGTCAAAAAGTGCGAATTATTAAACCTCAACTTTTTTGCAGATTTAAAGTTTCTTCCTTTTTTTTCTTTTCTTCCTCTCCCCCCGTGGAAATCCAGGCAGGCTTTCAGAGCGGTTTTTATTCAGAGCCACTCTGGGACTCAAACTCTTCAGTAGATTTAGGCCTAAACCTGGATTTTGAGGTGATGAATCGTATTACAATGCACCTGCTGTTATATCTGTATCTGTCTGTCAATTTGTATTCCCTTTCACGAGTCAGCCAAAAAAATAAGAAGAGGATGTCCGCGTTTCTCATGCAGGCTGGGAATAAAAAAAAAAAAAACAGATGCAAACCTCAGGAGGAGGCGTGAGGAAAGTAAAGAGTTCTCACCCTTTGGAAACATCTTACATGTTGATGCATATTTGGTGCACTTTGGTACAAATCAGAAGAACGCCCGGTAAGCAGTGATAAAGTCACAGATTTGGTCAAGGTGTCTATAATCTAGTGTGTGACAGTGAATAAGACCCATTGGAATGCTGTTAAAGCGTATACAGGAGCAAACTTCTCATCCCTCTCTCTTAATTATCCATCCCCCCCCCGGGCTGTCTTCATTAAGGCAAGCCAGACATATTTGGCGTTATATTTTTAATGCTACAACAACCGGGCTCAGCGAAAAAAAACCCACCACAGATTATTCACAGCATGTGTCTTGGCTCGACTCCATGTACTGTGACACATTATTATATTTCACCCCCCCCCCCCCCCCCCCACCACCACCACCACCACCACCTCACTTTCCCCCCTCCACCTCCTTCACCCCCCCCCCTCCTCGACTCTCCATCTCCTCCCTTCTCCTCTTCAGATGCTTTTCTCGTCCTCTCTGGAGTGAGAAATGGAAAAAATAAAGCACCTTCATACATGTTGTGTTGATTCACTTACAAGGCCGTGTGTGCGCGTGTGTGTGCGTGTGTGTGTGTGTGAGTGTGTGTGTGTGTGTGCAAGCACACGTGGTGGGGCTGACGGTGCATTGTACGTGTGCCAGTTGTTTGTGTGTGTCTCACTGTGTGCAGCAGGAAATTCAAAAACTAGGCCATATCGACCACCCAGGGGTTTGCAAAGCTCAGGGGGTACCAAAGCAACATGCTTTAAATAAGAGGGGGGGGGGAGGAGTTTCAAACGCCATGAAAGCAGGGAAAAAGACAACGCATATACACATTCTCACGCGCACAAGCAGACAGGCGTGCTCACACAAGCAGACAGTGCCCCCCCCCCATCTGATAAAAGCCCTGGCTCACATTGTGTTCAAAGAAGGAACATCAAACACTTAATCACACACATATCTAAATAAATCTTCTGCTGCGCGATAAACATCCATGTTTCATTTATACAGTCCTGCCTCAGCTCCGCGCTGGTGGCCGGACGTCTTCCCATAGATTAGGGCTTCCCCTGCTGACAGCCCGCAGAGCGATGAGCTGCAGACCTTGTCACTATCGATCCGGTTTCAGAGTATAATGGATATGAATGGGTTCAGCTCTGATTGGTTTTGAATTTTATCTCACAGGCGGCGGTTAATCTCACCTTTCGACCACATCATCAGAGAGTGGACGGCTTGAAGCAAAAATGTTCCAGCTGTGGGTTTACGGGGATACTTTCTCGTATTCAAAAGACATTTTAAAGTCATTTTCAGGCTTAAAGAACTTTTTTTCTGACTCTCATATTTGAAGATAAAAATTCCATTAAAACAGAACATTTAAAAATCACTGAAATTATTTAATCTGAAAATATGTTCAAATAAAAAATAATTCAAATGAAATTAATTGAAATAAATAAAGTAAAAAATATAAAAAGAGTAAAAAAGTTACAGTGCAGAGTTAAAGTTTAAAATCTTATTTAAATTGTTTA